CCCAAAAAAAAAAAAAAAAAAAAAAAGGCAAATTACTTGGAAACCCCATTTAAAAGAAAATATGTTTATTTAGTCTCACAATTTTTTGAATACTCTCAAAAGTCCACTATATATTTTTCTTCTTTATTCTTTTCTGTGCATTTGTTTTTCTCTATCTCTTTCTCTTCGTGATTTCCGATAATCGGTGCCTTTCTTCTTCTCTTTCTTATTCTAATACATAGTCATCGGTGACCGATGACCATCATTGCTTGGGGTTCACTAGCAACCACCGACTATCGACTCCTTACTTCACTCTCACCGACGGCGAAAGAAATGAGTTACTCAGATCTACATCAGATCTGAATAGATCTACCTGAAATCCGACTAGATCTAAACAAAAAATAGTTACCGGAGTACAATACTCTCTCTATATCTGTTTCTCTCATTCGATTTTTCAGTTTTTCTACTTTTTCTTTGCTTCACACTTCTATTTTCCTGTTTCAATGGAGAAAATTTTCAAGTTTTAAACAAGTTGTTTTTAAGTTTTAGTTACAGGCGGTGAAAATTGTAAAATTTAAATTTTTTTTGGTGTTGAAATGATCATACTTTAAAATTGTAAAATTTTATAATTTCATAACATTATTTAGAACTGTAAAATTTTGCAGTTTCATAACATTTTTTAGTTTGATTGATAATGATGAATGCTTAATAGAGTCATGCTTTGAAACTGTAACATTTTACAGTTTCAAAGCTTACTATTCAGTTTGACCAATATTGGAGATCATTTGCTTAAACCCTACAAATAAATAAACAAACAAATAAATAAATAAATAAAAATAATGCATACTTTTTCCCATTGTTGTTTGTTTGTTTTGTTTTGTTTGTTTGTTTGTTTGTTTGTTTGTTTTTTTTTTCTAGTTTATCAATATTTAGTACATATGTTTTTTCACTATAATTTCTCTATTTATTCTTTTAATTTTTTTGGCAATATTTTGGACATTTCGGTGAGTCTTTGATAATATTCTTGACGTTCAACGAACATTCTGGACATTCCGGCGACTTTCAGTGACGTTCAAAACACTCCGGCAATACTTCAATGAACTTCCAGCAATACTCTGGCAAGTTCTCGGTAATGTTGAATATTCCGACGAATCTCTGGTGACCGTTTGACGGAAGTCTGACAGTAGTGAGATGTAGTAGTGTTTTTAAAGTTATAAAAAAAAGGATTTTTTTGGTGATAATTAAAAATATGTAGAACTGATTGGTGCAAGTATTTTGTTTTGGAACTAGATGAATTTTGAATTTTGTGTATGAGACTTACTAGTAAATGCCCCTAAAAAAAAAAAACATATGAAATTTTTTTATTTTTTATTTTTAAATTACCTTGTTTTTCATTCAACGTAACCTCTCATCTTTTTTTTTTATTATTATTTTTATTTTTATTTTTAGATAGATTAACTTCCCTTGTCTTTAAAGTGGAATCCATCGTCTAGTCTAGTCTAGATATGTGGGTTCATCACTGGCTCCACTTTAATAATTTATTTTATTGGTATTTTAAGCTTTTTTATGTGGATTATCTACACAAAATGTGTATATTGATTCGATAATTAATCACATTATCTCATAACATTTTGTTTTCAAAAAAATAGAAGAAGTATTTTTAAAATCATATTTATCGTATTGTTTTTCCTTCCTCCCCCCTTTCTCAGTAAGGTAAATGTGATGAAATAATGTGACATTACAAGAAACTACACTTTCAGTGACAAGTTTAGCAACAAGCTTAAAATAGTTCCTAAAAGGTAACATTAATACGTCACCAAAACTAGTAAAAAGAAATACAATTGGCAACAAGTGTTGATATGTTGCTAAATGTCTTGATGTTTGGTTGACTTTTAGAATTTATTATTGAAATTTTTCTATAACAATTCTGGTTTAGACTCGACCCATTTTCTTACTTTTGAATTCGAGGACCTGTATACTTAACTGTTGTTAATCTCTTTTCCATTTTAAAGCTTGTTGAGTTCAGTTATTAGGAGTTTTAGTTGTATTTGAAATAGGTTGGGAAGTCAGTTTTTCAATAAGTTGTTGCCCAGATTTTTCCCGTTCGCTCTAGCGATGCTTTTTGCTCGAGTGATCTTTTACAGTCTGCAAAACTACTGAGAGTGTGATATCTTCGCTCGAGCGGTCTTTTACAGTCTGCAAAACTACTAGAAGGGAGTCATTGTGCGCTCGAGTCGTGGTTTTGATCACTCGAGCAGTGTCACTTATTGTGCCTGTTCGCTCGAGCGGTGTTTTGCTCGCTCGAGCGGTCGTGCTTATATCAATCCAAGAAAAAGACTTTTAGATCACTTTTTCATCTCTCTCTCTCTCTCTCTCTCTCTAAACATTTCAAAACCCTAAAATCTTTACATTTTCTCTCTAGTTCTTGTACTCTAGCTCCAAATACTCCAAATCCACTGGTTTCCTCACCCTAGCCCTTTGGAGTAAATGATTGAGCACGCCGAGGGCCTCATTCTAATCGGTGAAGTTTGTGTTTTTGGCTCCATCAAGTTCTACTCTTTG